ATTTAAAATGTTCCGATTTTATGAGCTCTCTGGCTTTTCTTCTTTTGGGCAGGTAGCCTGACATTTTTTAAAAAGGCAGCCCTCTGAAACTGAATGTGAGCTACATGTGAATTCTGAATTTTCTAGTAGAAAAATGTTAAAAAGAAAATAAACAGGAGAAATTTATTGTGGAAATTTAACCCAATATATCCAAATTATTATCATTTTAATATGTGAGCAATATGTAATTAGTAATGAAGTATACATATTTTTGGAAAAAGTATTTTGAAACTATGTATTTTGGCTTTCTAGCATATCGCAGTTCAGACCAGCCACATTCCAGGCACCCAGTAGCCACAAATGGCCAATAGCTGCCACATTGAAGTGCAGCTCTGACAGCAGATGAGAAGCCTGAACATCCCTTTTCTTCTCTTTTCTTTTTCTTTCCTTTCTCTTCTCCTCTCTTTTTTTTCTTTCTTTCTCTTCTTTTCTTTTGAGACAGTCTTGCTCTTATGCCCAGGCTGGAGTGCAGTGGTGCAATCTTGGCTCACTGCAACCTCCACCTTCCGGATCAGCAATTCTCCTGCCTCAGCCTCCCCAGTAGCTGGGATTACCAGCATGTGCCACCATGCCCAGCTTATTTTTGTGTTTTTAATAGAGACGAAATTTCGCCATGTTAGCCAGGCTGGACTCGAACTCCGACCTTAAGTGATCCTTCTGTACCTTTGCCTCCCAAAGTGCTGGAATTACAGGCATGCCACCACACCAATCGTGAATATCCTTTTTCTGCCATAAATGAGGGGAAAATATTTCCCTACCAACATCTCTTCAGTTCAGAGGGTAGAGAAGATAGTGGCCATAGAAAGAGCAGAGAGCAGCAGGAATAAACTAACAGCAGGGAGACCACCTTTTGCTCACCTTTCTTCAAGAGATCAGACAGTGAACAAAGGATGATGGGGCCACAGAAGAAGAAAGCTCTATGTCTACAGATCTGCCCCCAGTCTTTTTTTTGAGACAGTTTTACTCTGTTGCCCAGGCTAGAGTGCAATGGTGTAATCTCAGCTCACTGCAACCTTAATCCCAGATTGAAGTGATTCTAGTGCCTCAGCCTCCAGAGTAGCTGGGATTACAGGCACCTGCCACCATGCCCAACTAAACTTTTTTATTTTTATTTTTTTGAGATGGAGTCTCACTCTGTCGCCCAGGCTGGAGTGCAGTGGCATGATCTTAGCTCATTGCAACCTCCACCCTATGGGTTCAAGTGATTCTTCTGCCTCAGCCTCCCGAGTAGATGAGGATTAAAGGCGGCTGCCACTGCGCCCGGCTAATTTTTCTTTTTTAAGTAAAGACAGGGTTTCACCATCTTGGCCAGGCTGGTGTTGAACTCCTGACCTTGCGATCCACCCGCCCTGCCTCCCAAAGTGCTGGGATCACAGGTGTGAGCCACTGCACCTGGCCTAAGTTTTGAATATTTGGTAGAGATGGCATTTCACCATGTTGGCCAAGCTGGTCTCAAACTCCTGACTTCAGGTGATCCAACCACCTCGGCCTCCCAAAGTGCTGGAATTACAGGAGTGAGCCACCACACATGCTCATGTCCCCAGTCTTTACCGTCAATGTTTAAATGTGGAGAAAACAGATTAAAGGCAAGCTTATTTTGCTATTTGCCCTTTGCCCTAATTGTCAAGCTGTGGTTATCTGTTTTCTCCTTTGGTTTGGGGAACTGTGTGAGTGTAAGCCCAATCACTTGCAGACATGTCTACATGTATTTCTGCATTACTCAATATTCTCTTACAAGACATCCAACTTTGAATAAAGAGAAAAACCAGTATCTTTCTGGGGCCCACTGTTAGAAGGTAATTAGTAATCAACTGGTCATTAAATTTTGGCATCCTATCTGCACTGCGTGCATGTATTATTTACCTATTGCAGCATAACAAACCATCCAGAACTTCTTAGGTCATAATTGAGGTGATCACCAATTTAGGCTGGGCTCAGCGGGCCATTCTGTTTTCAGCTGACTCCTTTAGGCATGTATCATCAGCTGCTAGTTGACTACACAGCTGTGCTCCCTGAGGTGCGCTTCTGCTTCTGATTTTGAACTTCTGACCTCACGTGATCTGCCCAAAGTGCTGGGATTACAGGTGTGAACCACCATGCCAAGTCGACTTTTTATTGTTGGCAATTTTTTTATTACTGTTTCAATCTTACTACTTGTTATTGGTCTGTGCAGTTTCTATTTCTTCCTGGATTAATCTAGGAGAGTTGTATATTTACAGGAATTTATCCATCTTCTAGGTTTTTTAGTTTGTGCATGTAAAGGTGTTCTTAGTAGCCTTGAGTGGTCATTTGTATTACTGTGGTATTGGTTATAATAGCTCTCATTTTGTTTCTAATTGAGTCTATTTGGATCTTCTCTTAGGTAATCTCACTAATGATCTATCAATGTTTGTTATCTTTTTGAAGTACCCGCTTTTTGTTTTATTTATCTTTGAAATTTTAAAATTTCAATTCTTCTGTAATAATTGTTGTTTCTTTTTTTCTGGCAGGTTTGGGTTTGATTTGTTCTTGTTTCTCTAGTTCCATGAGGCGTGAGCTTAGATTTTCTATTTGTGCCCTCTCAGAATTTTTGATGTAGGCACTTAATGCTATGAACTTTGCTCTTAGCACCACTTTTGCTGTATCCCAGGGGTTTTGACTGGTTTTGTCACTACTGTTTTTCAGTTCAAAGAATTTTTAAATCTCCATCTTGATTTCACTGTCAACCGAATTAATAATCGTTCAGGAGCAAGTTTTTGTATTTTCATGTATTTGCATGGTTTTGAAGCTTCCTTTTGGAGCTGATTTCCGATTTCATTCCACTATGTTCTGAGAAGGGAGCTGATATAATTTTGATTTTTTTTTTTTTTTTTTTTTTTTGACGGAGATTGGCTTTCACTCTTGTTACCCAGGCTGGAGTGCAATGGCGCGATCTCGGCTCACCGCAACCTCCACCTCCTGGGTTCAGGCAATTCTCCTGCCTCAGCCTCCTGAGTAGCTGGGATTACAGGCACGCGCCACCATGCCCAGCTAATGTTTTGTAGTTTTAGTAGAGACGGGGTTTCACCATTTTGACCAGGATGGTCTCGATCTCTTGACCTCGTGATCCACCCACCTCGGCCTCCCAAAGTACTGGGATTACAGGCGTGAGCCACCGCACCCGGCCAGTTAATTTTGATTTTCTTAAATTTGCGTGACTTGTCTTGTGGCCCATCATATGGTCTATCCTGAAGTATGTTCCATGTGCTGATAAATATAATGTATATTCTGAAATTGTTGGGTAGAATGTTAGGTAAATATGTGTTAAGTCCATTTTTTCCAGGGTGCAGTTAAGACCATTATTTTTTTTCTGTCTCGATGACCGGTCTAGTGCTGTCAGTAGAGTATTAAATTTCCCCACTCTTTTTCTGTTTTGTTTTGAAATAGAGTGTTGCCCTGTTGTCTGAGCTGGAGTAAAATGGCACGGCCTCCCAAAGTGCTGGGATTATAGGTATGAGCCATGGCGCCCAGCCTACCCTCCTTAACAAAGACATAGGCCAGGCATGGTGGCTCATGCCTGTAATCCCAGTACTTTGGGAGGCCGAGGCGGCTGGATCATGAGGTCAGGAGTTCAAGACCAGCCTGGTGAACATGATGATACCCCATCTCTACTAAAGATACAAAAAATTAGCCAGGCATGGTGGTAGACACATGTAATTGCAGCTGCTTGGGAGGCTGAGACAGAAGAATCACTTGAACTGAGGAATTGGAGGTTGCAGTTAGCCAAGATAGCGCCATTGCACTCCAGCCTGGGAATAAATTATATTACCTTTTATATAAAGGGTAAAAAAAAAGCAGATAAAATGCTAATAATAAATTTTGCATGCAATAAACTTAAACATGAGGCAAATATTTTCACAGAAGTAAGGTAAACAAAAATAACCTAATTTACTATTTGTATAATATGAATTCAAGCATGTTATTTCAGAACTTTTAAATCTAAAATTACAGGCAAATTTAGCATATTATGAGTTACATAGTGAACACATATAGCATATAATCTTGATAATATTTATGTTAAAGAAGACATAATTTTAAAATACATTTACTATAAAATAGGTAACAATTAAAATGCATTATATGCTGGGTAATGTTCTAAGTTCCTCTTTGACATTAGTTTCTTTATGAATTCCATTATAAGTAGATATAAAAAATATTCTGCACTAGGTTCATTAAACATATGGAATTTAAATTTTCAAGCCTAGTGTCTTATAAAACAAATTTGTTAAATTAGAATTAATAATTAAATATTCATCGTTTTTTTTTTGAGTCTTGCTCTGTCGCCCAGGTTGGAGTGCAGTGGCACAATCTCAGCTCACTGCAACCTCTGCCTCCCGGGTTCAAGAGATTCTCCTGCCTCAGTCTCCCAAGCAGCTGGGACTACAGGCACATCTCACAACGCCCAGCTAATTTTTGTATTTTTAGTAGAGATGGGGTTTCACCATATTTGCCAGGTTGGTCTTAAACACCTGACCTTGTAATCCACCCACCTTAGCCTTCTAAAGTATTTGGATTACAGGCATGAGCCACCATGCCCAGCCAATGATTAAATATTCTTACATTTAGTAAGATGTTTTGTGCTGTGATGAAGTGTCAAA